TAATTCGAAGGTCAAAATCAAAATTTCATCTAGCTGACAGGTCATTTTCATGAGTTGTTTTGTATGTTTTTCAAATATCATTAGTTTTAAAAGAATTTCGTCGTATACATTATCGAAGAAAAAGACGTGCCCGCTCCTCCTCTTTCGATTGGTGAAAACCGCAGGTAGCTAGGTATTGCGGTTGTCGAGTTACTGAGCTTACACTCACCCCTCTTTTATTCTGGCGCGGACATTAAAGAATCACCACCAATACATAATATTGCGTGGATATATATAACATCAAAGAAAAAAGAAAAGAATAGAAAGATGAACAGTTAGATATAGATAGATGTTATATCATAACAGTTACGGTCGACTAATTAATCCCAACTTGACGACTTTAAATAAATGACATGTTTCTTCTTCACAATATCATACTCATATCTAACAAATGCAAATTCTCTCCCTGGCCAAATTAAGAATTCTTCTTCCTGAGGAAAATCAGATAAAGACGATATGTTTCTACCGCAACGAATATGTTTATGGTTGTTGTCACGCAGATTTACATCAATAATGAGAAGTGTGTTTCCATCATAAAACTCAGCAACGCTGCGGCTACAACTTGTTGAAGTAAAAGATGTGAATTTCATTATTTCTTCCATGAATTGCTTCCGCTGTTCGTTGTCTAGATTTAAACTACGGTATACTGTTGGAATATCTGTTGTAGGATTTTCATATAAATACCAATCAAGTAGCCAACAGAATGGTCCTAAGCTTTTCACTTGTTTACGACTCATGGAATGCGGATCGCGAAGAACACGATTAGTTAATTTATACCAAAATGACTCTTTTGTGTAGAGATAGACACATGTTTCACCAATATTTGATGGAAAGTTTTTAATAGAGTCTACTTTGGTGTTGGAACCAAAATCTTTCACAGCCACTAATTGTTGAGAGATCCATTGTGCTTCATGTAGTTTACCAATTGCTGATCCTTCTTTAATAATTCCATCAGCAGCTTCTTCAACAACATCAGCAATTGTTTTATTCTTGTCTTTTAATTCCAATTCCCAATAAGCACTTGTAATATAACCATATGTTCGCAGCCAAACAAGTTCATTTTCATTTTGCAACTGCTGAGATGAACATGTTGAAGTGGCAAGTGTCACTGATAGTAAAAACCTTTCTTCACGTGGATGAATATTACTTCTATCTTTTCCGAAATGAACACGTTTAATTGGACGTGCTGTAAATTCATTATCTCTCTTGTATTGTAATGAATATTCTAAATTAATTATATAATCTCCATCGATTTCAACATCGAACTTCTGTTGATTATTTGCATCTTCAATAATTTCATTTTCAACGTCAGTGTACTTTTGCCACTGTTCGTCGTCAGAAGACCACGGATCGACTGTAGAATTCCAATACCACTGGTAATTACGTGCACGTAGAAAAACAGGAGCAGTAGATGAGTGAGGCCATGATTCCATTTTGTTAGTTTTTGATGTATAGGAGAATGAATCAAAGTGCAGTGTTCTTTTTAATGCGTGAAAGTGTCGCAACTGCTTTTGTTTTGTTCTATTGATATTCATTGACTCTTACTTTTACAACAAAGTAAATACAAGAGGAAAAAGAGAACGGCAGACATGAGTGTGGGGTCATTGATTAAGAGAGTATCTCAGCAAAAAAGTCAAATTAAAAATGCACTGGTATCTAATAACGATCACGACACTTCATTCCTTACAGGTGCGTGCTTTTTTCTCTGTTCTACTGACTCTGTACAACGTTATTGTCATCTAAAAAGGGTGTGGATGCGGTTGTGGGATGGGGTGTGGGTGTGAGATGGGTGTGGGTATTGTTCTTATTTCTCCCACACCCACACTCATACCCGCACCTACACCCACACACCCACATCCACACATCCGCACTCACACCCACACCTACGTCCACGCCCACACCCACACTCATACCCGCACCTACACCCACATCCACACATCCGCACTCACACCCACACCTACGTCCACGCCCACACCCACACTCATACCCGCACCTACACCCACACACCCACACCCACACATCCGCACTCACACCCACACCTACGTCCACGCCCACACCCACACCCACGCTCACACCCACACCTACACCTACATACACACACACCCAGATACTCACACCTACACCCACACTCACACACACACCCTCCCTTGAAACCATTTTTGAAGAATTAAAAACTAATGGATTACAATTTGCTTTAAAACAACTTTCAATTCTTCAAAAGAAGATTTCTTTCTTTTTTCGTTTCATATAACAATTTCATTTATTCAACTATATTTTCAGAGTCCAACATCATTGAAAATCACATTAGAATACTTAAAACGTGGTAAAAAAAATTAGATTTAAGAGAATGTTTAAAGATGAAATATTACATTATACAACATCGTGTAAAAACTTACGATTGTTGTGAAGGTTTTCGTGCTAGTATGTTTGTTTTTTTATAGAAAAACTTTAATGTCATTCTCTCACTGTTTTCTTTTATTTTTGTTAAGTGGTTATTGATAAAGATAATAAACCTCAGTGACAACCAATTGAATTAGAAGACATTTCTAATGAAGAAATTGCGAATTATTTTTCAAAATTATCATCTGATAAAGAATTACAATTATGATAAAAACACAACTATAGAAGTGAGTTGATCGACAAAATCTTCTTTTTTTATTTTCATTAAGATTTATTTTGATTATGAGTAATAATAAATATTTATTCGATGAAGATAGAGACAGATAATTTTTTTTTGTGATGACAGTTATTTTAAATGTTATACCCACGGAAATTTTTTTTAGGAAAACCGCGGTTTCATCGTAGAGAAACGCGGTGTCATTTGGATAACCGATGTAAACCGCGGTATATACACTCCTAACCGCGGTTTTCATTATAGCGGTTATTACCGGTTTTATAAACCGTGGTGTATGCACTCGTAACTGCTGTTTCAAATATAGCGGTTATTACCAGTTTTATAAACCGCGGTGCTGTCCATTATAACCGCGGTGACTTTTCATTTTGTTTAAAAAAGTCTCTATTAATTTGAAAAACATCTGTTCATTATGATTTTCATTTTAAGGTGATATACCAGAAGATACTTGATCTAGCACAAGAAAGGGATTTTCAATTCATCTGCAAATTGTCGTGGTAGAAATTTCACAAATCAACTGATAAAAATGCTACAGCTTTTATTTATTTTTTAAGCTGTTTTTGTTGAGGAGGGATTGAAGTGGAGTCACAAAAAATGAATATTAATTATTCGATAAATTAATAAAACGAATGATTGTTAATGCAGACGGTTTCAAGAGAATTCATATAGTAAAAGACTCATTTTATTTTAAAAGCAAGACACGAAAATTTAAAAATAAAGTTCATTGCGGTTCTTTCAACCCACTACGGTATAACTAGAAGGACCGCGATTTTTTCTGGCGAAATCGCAGAGTTCTATATCGCGGTGCATATCGAAATGTGAAGTAATGTGTAAAGACAATCAAAATGTCGTGCCCCACTTTTTCTGCCAAATTTTTCGATCATTAAACAGATAATTCATCTGACTCTACAAAGATACTTTGTGGAAATGGAGCTCGAGAGAG